GCCGATCACCAGGAGATGGTGAGTTCTAGTCCCGCCTTAGGCACGAAAGCCAGCTGGGTGACTTTGAGCCGATCACCAGGAGATGGTGAGTTCTAGTCCCGCCTTAGGCACGAAAGCCAGCTGGGTGACTTTGAGCCGATCACCAGGAGACTGTGAGTTCTAGTCCCGCCTTAGGCACGAAAGCCAGCTGGGTGACTTTGAGCCGATCACCAGGAGATGGTGTGTTCTAATCCCGTCTTAGCAACGAAACACAGTTGGGTGATTTTTGGGCCAGCCTCTTTCTCTCAGCCCAACCCAGCTCACAGAGTTGTTGTGGGAAAAATAAAAGGAGTTTGGGTGTGTTGGATCTACTTACTTATCCACCACAATATCGTAAGTTTCCACCGAGTTGGTCAAACCAGAATCGGTCACTCCTGCGGCCACATAGATTTTACCCTTGTGGACTGTGGCCCCGAAAAGAGAACGAGCAACTTTCATGGGTGACAATTCCTTCCATTCAAACTTCTTGGGGTTGTACATGGTCAATGAATTCAGGCATTTCCTGCAACCGAGAAGAGGAATGGAAAATAGTTTTCCAAACTAATTTTATTATTACATATACTTTATTCATTAAACATGACACTCAGCCAACTGAACATCCAACAATGCGTTACAAATACCATTGAGTGGTGCCAATGGTTGATACGGTTTGCTACCAGCGTCCTAGGTATCAACCATTTATTATTATTATTCACAACAACAGAATTGTATCACAGTGGCCAGTTGTTTCGCCGGATTTGGCATTGGTTTTTAGTTGGGCCCCACCCAGGGGCCTAGGACGTTGTAACGTATTTTCGTAATATGCGTGCAGATCCAAGCAGTGCGGCTTTTTGCATTTGCTCCCTCTCACCATTGCCACCTTTCTCTTTGTCTTTCCCTTTCCTACCTCCCTCCCTCCCTTCCTCCCTCTTTCCTACATTGTTTCCCTCCCTCTTTTTCTTTTTTACTCCTTCCTTCCCCCTCTCCCTCCCTCCTTCCTTCCTTTCTTTTCCTCCCTCTCTACATTTCCTCCCTCTGTTTCTCCTTCTCTTTCCCTTCCCCACTCCCCCTTTTTTCCTTCATTCTTTCCCTCCCTCTTTTTCTTTTTTGCTCCTTCTATCTCTTCCTCCCTCCCTCTCTTATTTCTTTCTGTCCCTCCTTTTCTCCATTTCCACCCTCTCTCTTTCTCTTTCCCTTTCCTCCCTTCCTACCCTTTCTTTCCTTCATTCTTTCCCTCCCTCTTTTTTCTTTTTGCTCCTTCCTTCCCTCTCCTCCTCCCTCCCTCTCTCCCTCCCTTCTTTCTTCTTCCTTTGTTTTCCTCCCTCTCTCCATTTCCCCCCTCTCTTTCTCCTTCTCTTTCCCTTCCCTCCCTCCCTTCCCCTTCTTTCCTTCATTCTTTCCCTTTTTCTTTTTTACTCCTTCCTTCCCTCTCTTCCTCCCTCCCTCCCTCCCTCCTCCCTTCTTCCTTTCCTCCCTCTCTCCATTTCCCCCCTCTCTTTCTCTTTCCCTCCCTCCCTTCTTTATAAACTAATTGAATCATGGGGCTGGAAGGGACCTTGGAGGTCTTCCAAACTAACCCACCCCTGTCCGTAGCAGGGGTTCTTATACCATCCTGGACAAATGGTTATCTAATATTTTCTGAAAAACCTCCCTCATTGGAGCACCTACAACTCTGGGTGGGAAGCTGTTCCATTGACTTAACACAGTGGTTCCCAAAGTTGGCAACTTTAAGACTTGTGGACTTCAACTCCCAGAATTCTCCAGCCAGCTCTGCTGGCTGGAGAATTCTGGGAGTTGAAGTCCACAAGTCTTANCAACACATGGAATCTCTTGGTCTTTCTTTCCTAATTATATAATGGAGGGATGCTGACAGCGTGTTTGTGTGTGTGTGTTTGTGTGCATTTGTGTGCATTTGTGTGCGTATATATGCATGTCCAGTAACTCTGCTAAACTGAATGAATGGTCTGTCCATGCCCTGCAAGTCTCATGCCAATCTTGGAATTTGAACTCAGGTCCCCAACCATCAGTGCTGTACTTACTGCACACATTTCCCTGGAGAAGAAGTTCAGATGACTCAGACTAGGGGTGAGCAACCAGGGGCTGCAGCAGGGGGCTCCCCTGGGGGGGTAAAAACAACCGAGGTGGCAACATCCAAAAGCAGTAGAATCATCACAGTGTTTTGGGTGCAGGAAACATCCCAAAATTATAGAACATGCCCCAAAACACACTTAGCATAACTTTGAAGAACATCTTAAACTACACTGGTTTTTTTTTAAAAGGGAGGTGGGACTAAAGATCCCTAGAAGGGTTTCCCAACTTGTACCACTGGAGGGACGTGGTGGCTCAGTGGCTAAGACACTGAGCTTGTCAATCAGAAGGTCAGCAGTTTGGCGGTACGAATCCCTAGGGCTGCATAATCGAGTGAGCTCCCGTTACTTGTCCCAGCTCCAGTCATCCTAGCAGTTCAAAAGCACATAAAAATGCAAGTAGAAAAATAGGGACCATCTTTGGTGGGAAGGTAACAGCATTCCGGGCTCCTTCAGCATTTAGTCATGCTGACCACATGAACACAGAGACGTCTTCAGACAGTGCTGGCTCTTTGGCTTTGAGATAGAGATGAGCACCGCCCCCTAGAGTCAGAAGCAACTGGCACATATGTGTGAGGGGAACCTTTACCTTTACCACTTTTGGCCACAAACTCTGTGTCAATGTTCCGACTGACGAACCCAACCAAAGTAAGCATGGCCAAGAAGTTCCAATCTCTGAATGCAAAACTTTATTGAGTACATCATTTCAGCACTGATGAGAGCAAAACCAGATCTCTCCAATTCCCGCACAACCCTACATAATTAAAGAATAGAATTCTCCCTCCCCTATTAGTGGAGGTCACACTGTCCAATCGAGTGTCACTGTATTGTTATGGCAACCACCTGCCGAAGTGTCCTTGGCTCTCACGGTTCTGTTATTTTGAAAAGGTACACCTCTTCAGGTAGGTCTGGTCAGGAAGCAGCCAATGTAGACTCTGCAACGATGCCTGGGTTATTGTAGGAGATGATCAGGCAGACCCCGTAGAAGTGGTCAAATGCATTATCAGTCTTGAGTCCTTTCGCACCCACAAGAGATGGCATCTTGAATTCCATTAATTCTTATCTACCGCCAAGTTGCTTTGACTGTTAGTAGATCAGATTCTTGTAGAGAGCATTCACACAAAATAAACCTATGTTCATTTGAACTGCCTGGACTTCTGATTTCTGCACTTGACAGTTATACACTGTTCCCTCTAAGGTGCGCGGCTGCGCGGCCGCGCACCTTGCAAGAAAGCCCCG